TACGGCGGCTCTAGTAAGAAGAGACATCGTCCACCTAGAGCTGGAACCACCTCAGTACCAAACTATGCGCTCAATCGGCATAAAAATGGAGGCGGCGGGCGAGGAACTAAGGATATACGCAGCATACCGCCCGCCAGGGACTCCATTTTGCTCCTCAGACATCCGGACAATAATGGAAGGTGAAACACCAACCATTATAGCAGGGGACCTAAACGCGAAACACCCGGCATGGGGATCAAGAATGATCACCCCGCCGGGTCGTGCTCTTTACGATGATGCGGAATTAAACAACTACGACGTATTAGGTCCCGAAGAGCCGACGCATATTCCAGCCGATCACCGGAAGAGTCCGGATGTGCTGGACATCGTGCTCACTAGGAACATCAACTGCCCGATAGTGGTAGAGGTGCTGTACGACGCGGACACACAGCACCTCCCGCTATTAATCACCTTAGGCCTCAGGGCAGTGACGTCGCCTCCCAGAGCCTTCAAGACTAAGATTAACTGGAGGCTCTACCAACAACATCTACTGGAGAGACCTCCAGTAACAACACCGATCAACACAGCGGACGACGTAGAGGCCGCTGCAACCAGAATTACTAAGACGATCACAGAAGCTCTCAACGCAGCCTCTACGATCGTCCCACTTACCAAAAAGAAAGAAGAGCTGCCACAAAAATTACAAATTCAGCTGAGGAAAAAGAGAGCATTAAGGAGGCTTTGGGCGCGTACGCGCTGTCCAAAAATCAAGTCGCAACTCAACACCTTATCAGAAGAGCTGTCGGTTGCAATCCAGGCCCACAGAGGAGAGGCCTGGGAGCGGCGCATATGGAAAGCAGAGGAGGAAGATGCGTCGCTCTACAAATTGAACCGGCAGCTGACAAAAACAAGATCACCTGTATGCGCACTATTAAGTAGTACTGGAGAGAGATGCTATGAGGCCAAGGAAAGAGCGGATATCCTAGCTGAGCACTTCGAGGAGCAGTTTATGCCGAATCCAGCAAGTGCGGAGTTCATGGAGCTTCATACCCAAAAGGAGAGCCGCGTACAGGAGTTCCTGTCGTCGCCCTCGCCAACGCTTGCAGGAGAATGGTTTATTTCTCCCACAGAATTGCGGAGGACGATTAACCGCCTGCAAGTGAGGAAGGCGCCGGGGCACGACCGGATCACGAACGCAGCACTCAGACAGCTGCCAAACAGAACCACCGTAGAGTTAGGAAAACTCTACAATGGCATTCTGCGGACTTCCCACTTCCCGGAGAGCTGGAAAATCGGCAAAATCATCGTCTTGCCAAAACCCGGGAAGGACAGGCGTAGAGCAGCTAGCTACAGGCCGATTACGCTGCTACCGCACATAGCCAAATTGTTCGAGCGCATCATATTAAGAAGAGTCCGCCCGTGCATACAACTGCGGGCGGAACAACACGGATTTCGGAGCGGACACTCTACAGCTACACAGCTGACCAGAGTGCTGCACCTATTATCGACGGAGTACAACTATGAGAGAACGTCTGTGGGCGTCTTCTTGGACATAGAGAAGGCGTTCGACAGGGTGTGGCACTCTGGACTACTCTTCAAGATGAAACAACAAACGAGTGTCCCTCCTGCTATGCTGCGGCTAGTGGCGTCATTTCTAGCTGACAGAAGCTTCTACGTCTGTGTAGAGGATGCCGAGTCCGCAGTCAAGCCAATTAGAGCCGGCGTACCACAGGGCAGCTGTCTCTCGCCGATCCTGTACGCGGCATATACCAATGATATACCGACGCTGGCTGGACAACTGCAGGAATGGGAGGACGACGTAGAGCTGGCGCTATACGCGGACGATAGTGCCTACTTCACGTCGTCCAGAAGAGCCCACATCGCGGTTGCCAAGATGCAGCGCCTGCTGGACCTGCTGCCACCATGGCTGGATGAGTGGAGGATGGCTGTCAACGTGGGAAAGACGGCCGCTCTACTCACCCGCCGTTACAGAAATCTACCACCACCATTGAAGCTAAGAGGCCAAGAGATCGCGTATCAGAAGGCCGTAACCTACCTTGGATGCCGGATCGACAGGATGCTGCGCATGACTGCGCACGTCGACATCGTCGTCCGCAATGCCAGATGTGCGCGGGCGATGCTCCGTCCAGTCCTGACATCCAAGCTGCCGATGAAAACAAAGATTACTCTGTATAAGACGTATATTCGTCCGAGGCTAACATACGCCGCTCCGGCCTGGTACGCGCTCTTGAGCAGCAGACAGAGGCAGCGGTTGCAGGTCCAGCAGAATCAATCACTAAGGACCATTGTCGGTGCAGGTCGCTACGTCCGGAATGACGTCATAGCGGCCAACCTGAAAATGGAGACAATCGAAGAGTTTGTGGTCCGGTTGACGCGCGGTATGTTCGACCGCGCAGACAACGGGCCACATCCACACCTTAACAACTTTGCGCCGCTACACACTCGCCCCCCGGACGGGCGACCTCTACCAAGAGAACTCCTCTCTACAAGAGATTAGAGAGTCGAGTAAAGCCCGCAATGCCACTGACAGGCCAACTTTGATGCCTAGGTCGAAGCAGCCGCCTATACGGCGACTTACCCGACCTAGCTAAACTAACTAACTAATAAACAAGACAACCAACAATGCCGGATTACCGGCTCCCAATGACCGGCCCATAGAAATGGGCCGTGAGGACTACCCGGGTAATGGGGAAGATGCCCCGAGGCCCGAGAACTGCTGGGTGTAGTACACACACCGCAGCAGACGACAACGTAGTAGTAACACACACATACATACACACACACACATACAACAGCACAAACCCTGTTTAAAAATAATACGCACATACAGTTCCACATAGACATACAACTACAGTTACACAAAGACCTGCTAATTAGTTTATAAGTCACTTACTGTTATTTTTTCACTTACCTTAAAATAGTCTCAATATTGCTAATAATTAAGGGAAAGAGCGAGATAGCCTCAACACAAGTATTATCAATTACTTACTCATGTACTTACATGGATTATAAATAAAGGCGTGTCTCATTTATAATCCATGGACCAATAAATATTTTAATTGTAATTTCAATATTTTTTTTCTAGAGGGATTTTTTCTTGCACCGTCGTATAAAACGGGTTTTTTAAGTTGTACGATTTTGTGTATTAAATAACTGCGAATCTAAACTATCAATGTAAACGATGTATCCAATGTTACAATGTTGTTAAAAACCTCAAGTTATTTAGACGCTTTTATAACTTGTAATAGCACCTTCATCAACTAATTGCTGACTTAGGCAATCTCCCACAAATATTGCAATGTTACTTATCAACATTTTGTGGAGAAATGTTGTCATATTTACATATATTTTGGGTAATATATTACAGTTTTATTTTTGGCTAAAGGCCTTGTGGTCAATGTTGCAACAAAGGAAAAAAAACATCAAAAAGGCGCAATTCGATGATGAGCCATGTGTACAAAATAATTATTTGTTCATTTTGCTTTTATTTAAAATCGGCTCGTCAACATATTAATGATTTCTTCTTATATTTACGCGAACACTACACATTAGATGAAACTAATTTTACGGATTTTATCGCTTTTAATTTTAACTTTTTAATTCCTGATGTTGAAGGTAGGCTGTCATAGTTAGTCTACCTTCAACATCAGATCGGATCAGAACGATAAAATTAAACGCGATAAAATCCGTTAAATTAGTTTTATTTAATGCATCAACTTATTGTTGAGAAATTTGTTTTATCTATAATATATTCTGTGTAATGTATAACAGCTTCTGGTGTGTTCAACTTCCTTTTAGTATGGCCGGGAAATACGATGCAGTCATCGTCCTCCCCGACATACTTATAAAAAGTGCTTGATTTGACGCTGATGAGCTCGAAATATAAATGTCCTTGTTTAATATGTTACAAAACAGGCTTTAGTTACAGACGGACTTTTAATTCTTCATTTGTTAAAACTTTGCTTTGTATTGTTACCTCAAAAATATGACAAAAAGAAGAACTTCGGTGTTCCTTTCGCCGTTTTATCTACAGTCAGAGGAACCTCAACAAAACGGTCGTAGATTTGGAGAAAAAGACGACACTTAACAAATGAAATTTAAATTTCGTACGTCGAGGAAATGAATTTATCATCGAAAAATAATACACGTATTTTTGATGATTAATTTTATCATTAATCATCTAAAATCAATGTAAATGTAGATCCCTCCTGGCCTTGTTCTCTATCTGTTCGTGAAGTTTCATCGCAATTAGTTTAGCTATTACAAAGATAAACCCGGGCAAGAAGACAGTCAAATAATCTTCTTATAATAATCTTCTTAGCTTGGTAAAAGGCAGTTATTTCGTTATTAAAGGCGGAAACTTGAATTTTATTTATGTGTATAGATGTAGTAGAAAAAGAATTGCCCTACATATAAATAAAATTGAAGTGTCTGCCTGTAATATCGAAATAACTGCCTAATTGAGCTGAGGGTTTTCTTTACATGTCATTAATCACTTATGAAATTTTTGTGAATGAAGAAAGTCTGTCTGACTGCCCGTCAGTCCGCTTAATCTTTGTCGGACTAATCTGTGTCCGTCTAATCAGTCGGGCTAATCTTTAGAATGGCTGAACAGATTTTAATGAAAATCCACGAACAGATAATGTTACAGCTTTTGAACAATTTTTGAGCAATTGAACAACAATGTTAGGAGTGATTTAAACTATATTTTATTCGAAAAATAATTTAAAATTGAAAAAATAAATATCTAATCTTTGATTTTAAATAACGCCACGTTACTAGTTCTAAATAATATTTATCGTTTCATTTCTTGGCTGAAGTACTAGTATCTAATGCAACAATAAAAGAAAGATATATGTATAATACATTGACTTAGGATATTTCTAACTCTATGATATAATATATGTCGGTCCATTTCTTGGCAAAAAGAGTAGTATCCATAGCAACAATAAATAAAAAATATAAGTATATAAGTGTGTGTCGCACGTGTGCGTGTGCAGGTGGAGAGCGGGCGCTACGAGCAGCGCGGCGACTTCACGGTGGTGGTGCAGCCGTTCATGCGGCTGTTCAACGCGCCACCCGCGCCGCGCGGCCCGCTGCCGCTCGTCATTCACCGCTCCTATATCACGCACGACTGCTTCCACTTCTCACAGAAGGGCCACGCGCTCGGTGAGTCCTTAGCCTACTTCTGTATCTGTCTCTCTCTCTCTCTCTCTCTCCCTTTCTCCCTCTCGTATATCTATATTGACAAACTCGTTGACGGCGTGACACGCGTTCAGTGAGCCCACACCCTACTTTCCCTCTCTTACAGCTGTAGTGACACATTCGCTCGCAGACACTCCCTGATAGCAAGTGGACAACGTGACCCAGCAGAAGAGACACGCACTCTGTGAGCCACCACCCTACTCCTCTCACATCAAAGCTGTAGTGACAAACTCGCACACACACCACTTCTACACTATTATAAGTAGTAGATCCACGCTGCAGCTATATTATGGTTGTAGCACGAATGGGTTGACTCGATCGGGGTGGATCAAGGGCTCGGGGCGCGACCATAAACTAGCAGCTTTACTCTGCGGAAGGAGGATTTAGCATACAGTTCCTGGTTTTATTGTATATTTATGACAGACGTCTTATGGCTGGTTGCTGTATGTTTTTGTACGTGGTAGAGCTGAGGTGTGTATTATGACTGATCGGGGAATGACCAGTGACAACGCTCGCATAAAACTAGCGACAAATAGCAACATTATGCCACAGTTTTTCGTACGTGAGTGACGAGAAACAGAGATCTTCTTTACTGGAAACGAAACATTCCATCTTAGTCCTCAGGGGTGACAACGCATCTGCATTTTGATTCTTACTGCGTAGACTCTGTGCTCATTTTTCACCCTTATTCTAACAAAAAACCTTCTCTAACAACTACACTGACAAAAGCACTCACTGACGTCACTGTTGGCATAGGCGTACCCCCTTTTTTTTACTTACATTACTTCTCTCATATCACAGCTGTAGTGACAAACGCGCACACAGTCATTGGTGGCACGTGGATGTCGTGAACCATAAACCTACCTACATCTATCCTCCCATTTTCTTTTATTATTCTAAGCCAGCTTTTGACTAATATTCCACTAGGTATACTGACAAACTCGCACACATTCGCTGATGGCACGTGGATGACGTACCTCTTTTATTAAATATGTATGACAAACGATCACAAAGTCCCCCAATGGTAAGCGGATGGTGTGTCCCCATAGTTATTTACATTTGTCCTTGATTAAAAATTAAAATGCAGATGCATTTTCACTCTTAAGAACTAAGATGGAATACCTCATAGCCTGTAATTGCACGCTGTAAGGTATTCCATCCATAAAGAAAGCAAGTATAATTATACTGGCTCTCTGTACCCTTCGGATTAGAACACAGGTAAGTTAAAGAACCTAGGTAAGTTGATAGAACTTACCTAGACGGACTATATGCATAAAAGAAGCCCTAGCGACTATAAAACGTAGTAGTTAAGTCTTGGACCTTTGATTCTGCTGCCCGTCGCCATGTTATTAATTTATTTGTTAAGTATTTGTTGCATTCCCTCTTACAAAAGGGTACAAATGGTGGTATTAACGCCATAAGGCGTTATCTACCAGTCAACCCATCTGTACGCCGTGAGATTTTTCCGGCCTTGTACATAATCGTCTGCTACGACACCTTGGGAACGAAATGGAATAATAATTTGTTTAACAATGCCCCTTACTCAGCACGATCCTTTTATTAAAATCAAAGGTTGTAGACGGAGGACAAAGAGGGAATGCTTCGTAATCAATTGAACTCGTCATTCACGATATTACGATGCACAGTAGCATTACGCTGCTATTTCACACTGGTATTTTGTGCAAGCTAGTCCTTCCCCGTTCGAAATGACCCATTCGTGTTGCAGCCATATTACACGCTACAGTCTATTAAAGTCCATTACTGAACATAGGCCTCCCCCATAGATTGCCTCATAGGGGGGATATTAGCCATAGTTGCCACGCTTGGCAAGTGGTATGGCAGCCACAGTTTTGTAATTTTAGTCGTTTTTAGGAAGACGCTGCTGCCCATCTCCTGATTTGTTTTCCTATGTCTCCTCTTACGACATCCACGGGATAATATAGGGTAGTCGATTTTCTTACACCGCTACTACACGGTATTACACATATTAGTTGAAACTCAATTCTTGAAATACTTATGTACATTTCCAGCGGCAAACCTCCTGTGGAACAACCTCCTGGAGCCTGTGGGCAACAAGTCGGACAACGTGCCTCCAATTCTGATGAAGTCCTTCCGCTGCCCGACTCCTGAAGCTCCCTTTTTCTTCACCGCCAAAAACTCCAGGGTATACCTGGAAACCGGACGTCAGGAAGGAGCTGACGAGCTCTGATATCCACCCAACAATTTGAGGTGTTGGTTAAGAATATAGTCTGTTCACTAAGATAGTGTCGGTACACCCGTGGCGCACTTATTTTTTTTATTGTGTTTGTCAAATAAATGTTTTTCTATTCTAAGAATAAAAAACAATTCTATTTTATTCTTGTGGTTACTATAATAAAATACGAATATAAATTTCATTATGGAACCTTTCACTACGGCGCTTCGTTTTAAAATACCAAATTCTCCTGCACGCCACTGGTGTACGCCGCACGCGGCGACCTTTGATGTCGCGGTGGCGTATTTAACAAGATGCGGCACCTGCAGAGGCCGTGCAACACAAAGGCGACCGAATATAAGCGAACAGACCATACACGTTTATTTTGTACAACTTTCTGTTACGAGTTACAATACGCCAAGAGACTACTAAAATAATGTAGTGTGTGAGCGGATGTTCAACTTGCTCTCTTGCTTACGAAACTAACCATTAACAGCAATAAAACAGCGTATTGTAATATACATTAAGTATATTGCAATAACAATTCAACGACACAGTAATTTGTGCTGGAAACTTTAAACATAATAGCACTAAAAGATTACGTTGTAAAAATTTGTGTGTAAAAGTGGATAAAACTTTTACGTGGTAGACCCTTTGGTACGTAGAGACTCTTTTTACTGGAAACGAGGCATTCCATCACAGTCCTCAGGTCTGCATTTGATTCGTAATCGAGGATAGATGTAGATGTCTATGGGCCACAGAAACCACTTACCATCAGGTGGACTGTGTGCTCGTTTGTAACCGTATCCTATAAAAAAAGATTAAATATACAAACCAACAGCATCACCACATATTAAGGTGTGAAATTGGTCAGCTCCATAAGAACGGATTGAGTTGAGTAATTTACACGAAATTTCGCGTTATACCCAAATACATCTATGTATACTACTACACCGGCAATTCAGAACAAAAATTATGTCACAGCTGGGGATCGAGCAGGCAGATACCCTTCACGGTAAATGTGCCACGCACTTGTATTTACATTAACAAAAATTACTGTTTTTAGGCAAATACGTAATGAAGTTTGGTATATATACTTATCTGAATTAAATTTAAATCACGTTGACAAAAATAATGACAGCGTTTTCTTAGTCACATTAAACAACATCAGTGTTAGATTGTCAAAAAACGTCCGCGGTTTACAAAACAAAGAACTAGTCCCCTTGCCCACTCGCAATCGACTAAAGTAGTTACGGAGAATTGACCGTAGCTTAGTGCACAATGTTATACCGTAGTATACCCGTATAGTAGATACATAGAAATGTTTGGTTCTACGCTCATTATAATTTCATTTTCCACCAACTATATCTGACTTTTGGTTTCGTTTTGCCTTTCCATACGTTTTGTTTGACGTCGAAGCTTCATTTGTTTCGAAGTGTCCGTCTTGGTTGGTATAACCTTACCTTACTCTGTGGCCAAGTAATAGTGCCATGTACAATCTAAGTCCTCATTGTGAAGGGTTGCGATAATCTCTTACCATCTCATGGCATGTGAACTCGTTCATAAATGTTGATCGAGGTGATATATGGCATTCAAATGTTTATCTACAACTCGGCTTAATAATTTCGTTGCCTTTAGACACGCCATTTTAACTGTAACAGTGAAGTATTGTTACGATACCAGTAGATAATATTATATACCAAAATGTCTAGAAGTAATTTTAGGAACTGTGTGATTATATCTTACTAAGCTTGGATTTTTGTTAAAGAAAACAATTAAAGAAAATTTAGAAATGCTTAATTGGTTTACAAAATATGCTCAATTAACTAGTCCTTGTTTTAAAATTTGGGTAACAACCTTTAACGAATAAAATTATTTTCTAAAAGTTATACTCTAAAACATTGACGTGCGTAGCTAGAAAGAGGCGTGGTCCCCCTACAAAATCTAGTGCCTTCACCCAAAATATGTTGTCTTTAACTACCTAAGAGAATTAATTCCAGCGTTGTCTAATTAGTTTCAACAAGCCTACGCCAAATTGGGCCCATACCATCCCAGAAAAAATGTTGGCAACGCTTGTAATCACGATTGAGATGTTTTATTCCATTTTAATTTCTAAAGTCCAATAATTTTAAAGTAACCGCCAAAAATTTGAGTGGGATACATTTTTTAATATGTATTTTAAATATTTACGGTGGACTTCCACTTGACCGCATCCAGCGCTGCAACACTGGCACTGCGTAGAGATGTTGCATCTCTTTGCGTATTTTATCGCATTTACCACGTGGAGTGCTCTGAGGTACGACTTAGGGACCTTCAAGAAAAAAACCTACTACTTTTTAAAAGGCCGGCAACGCATCTGGAATTCCCCTGGTGTTGCGGTTGTTCATGGGCGGCGGTAGTCACTTACCATCAGGTGAACCGCATGCTCGTTTGCCCCCTCTCCTATATAAAAAAGAATTGATTTGCAGCGAACAAGTATGTATTTGAACAAGATTTTAGTCCTTGTGCAATTTATGTATGTAAAATGCCTCCACGATACAGGAGAAAATCCTAGATTGGGGGTTACGTGTTTTCTTGTAAATATGATTAAATTTATTGTATTCTGTATTGTATTGTATTGACATGTTATATTCAACTTATATACTCTACATAAAGACCATAGACTATCGTTGTATGACTTAGGGCCAATTTTTCAATCAACAGACAAAAGTTATTCAAAGGATAAAATACAACCTAAACAAATTATAAAGAAAACATGTGTGCCGTCAACACACAGTAGAAGTAAAATATTCAGAAAATTGTAAGTAAATTTGCTTTGTAATAGCACCATCTACTTCATTCTATAGGTAAAGTAATTTTATCGACCAAAAATTTATTGACTGTCAAGGTGGTACGTAAAATAGACGCTAGATGGCATAAACACTATTACTTTACTATAATATTCTAAGTCGTACTCTCGTAGCCTAAATCCTATATGTGTATATGTTTGTCTCATTTAGTGTCACTTTTTCGTTTCATCGTGTTACAAATCATAACGATTGTTAAGAAGTTTTCACTTCAAACTAAATTACAGTTGTATGAACAAATTCAATTAAATTTCTTCACATTTATATTCAGTCAAGTTATAATTTATTTGATGGATAACTTTTATCTGACGATTGAACAATCGGCTCTTAAGCAACGAACCTTCTTTAACTGATTTTATATATAAATACTCTTTATTTATATTTATAAAACACAGGGTTTACCCTAACTTAGGAAGCAAGTTCATTTTTAAGAACATATTTAGTATATAAGATGCATTGTTTGACTCTTACTCTGTATCACTTTTCTATCTGAATAAATTATTATTATTATTATTATTTGGATCAATCATCGTATATATCCGTTAAGCGCCTTATTCACGATCCATCTTGCTGTACGTCCCGCCATGGTCATGCACAACGCACAATGCAAAACGACAATGAGTAGGCTTGACAGCAAGCAATTAATAATAATTATTGACGTACGTGGGATTCGAACTCGGCACCAAATGATCAGCAGCCACGTTTACCACAACTATACCAACGAGGTATTCCGATGACGATGATGTATAGTATATTATAAAGATACCTCATTATTTTTAAGGGCTTTTTTAAACAATTTAGAAAATCAGCCCATTTTAGTTACAAATGAAAAAAAAATTAATTATTTTCCTACAATTTTATTTTGTTTTGTAATTTCTTTAATTTAATTCATGACAATATTACAATAATTAAAAAGATGGTCTAGTTTTAATAGTGCCATTAATATATTAGTTGAATTAATGTATGTATATATATACTTAATATTATTGTTGTAAATAAAAAAATAACAATTTTTAATGTTTTATTTACTCGTAACCTCTTCTTTCAAATTTGCTGTCTCCCCGTCTCTCCCTACTGCTCCTATTGCTATCTTACCAGGATTATCTTATCGGCAGTATAGAGGTAGTTCTGTATAGTAGACAATAAGCTGACGATCTGTTCCATATGCTTCACAAAACTAATATTACATACATAATAGGTATCCGTAATAGAGCCATGTTGCAGCTATACATATAATGGTTGTAGCACGAATGGGTCTTTTCGACTGGGGAGAGGGTAGTCTTCTCATAGAACACCAGCGTAAAAATAGCAGCTTAATGCTGCTGTGTTTCGTATGGTGAGTGTAGAGAACCGGAGACCCATTTTACTGGAAACGAGACCTTTCATCTTAGTCCTCAGGGGTGACAACGCATCTGCATTTTGATTCTTAATCGAGTACAGAAGTAGATGTCTATGGACCACAGCATCTACTTACCATCAGGTGGCCTGTGTGCTCGTTCGTCATGTATAAAAAGCTCGTATTTTTAAGTTCTGTTTACGCAAATAAATATATGCTTTTTCCGTCCATTTATTACAGCCATTTCCCATAGAGCAGATGTTCCATTAGTTGCCACACTTAGCAGGCACGTTGGCAACCGTAGATTTTTATAATTTCTGGTTGTTATCAGTTTACCTCAGTCCCCTCTTACGACATTTAAGCACGTGGTAGAGCCATGCTGCAGCTATATTAGTAGTATAGTTGTAGCACGAATGGGTCGGCTCGACCGGGGAAGGACCACGCTCTCGCAGAATACCAGCGTAAAATAGCAGCTTAACACTGCCGTGTTTAGTATGGTGAGTGTAGAGAACCGGAGACCCTTTTTACTGGAAAAGAGGCATTCCATCGTAGTCCCCACGGGTGACAACGCATCTGCATTTTGATTCGCAAACGAGGATAGATGTCCCATCTATCAGGTGGACTGTGTGCTCGTTTGTCATCCTATCCTGTAAAAAAAAAACATTCACGGGACGTTATGGGCTAGTGGATATTCTTATACCGCCACTACCGATTATATCCCAAAGCCGATTTAAACTAGGTAAAAACCATATATATAGTAAATATTTTTCTCCTTATAAGCCTGTACAAGTTAACTACTGATCATTAGTCTCTATTAAGTTATACAATTGGTTAGTACAATTTAAAAGCAAAAAAAAACCTCCATAAAATGTAATATGGAAATTAAAGATGTATCTATTCAAACCATATTCTAGTTGTTACCTCAAATATTCTATTAAGCTTTTGATAAAAAGTAGAACCGACTTCAAAAATTATAAAATAATCCCTTCGTAATAGCTTTATCCGTGTGGCGGTGTAAGAATATTCACTACTCTCCCATTTCATTCCGTGGGGGACGTAAGAGGCGATAGAGGGAAACTGAACCAGGACATGGGCATCAGCTTCTCCTGATAACAAAAATTGCGGATTGATAATAAAAAATGCGGTTTCTAACCCACTTGCCAAGCGTTATAGCAGATTGTAGCACGAATGGGTCCCGAGAAAAGACAACGTTCTCGCAGAATGCTAGCGTAAAATAGCGGCTTATTGCTGCTGTGTTTCGTATTTTATCTTATTCCTGAAAGATACATGGGTGATTGACGTATCTAGATTTAGAGAACCGGAGATACTTTTTGCTGGAAATGAGGCATTTTATCTTAGCTGTCATGGGTGACAACGCATTTTGATTCTTAACTGAGGATGAATGTGGATGTTTATGAGCCACAGTACACACTTACCGTTTTCTATGTTTAGCAGTTCACCATGTTTGCTGTGGATTTTAATAAGCTGTAACGGTAATGATAAATACCGACCCAACGAGACTGTCCCCACAACAAGGGCGTAATATATGTATGTTTCCCTGGTACGAGTAGACCCAGTGGACTGTGTTCGTTTGTCGGACTTCACATGTCTACGAGATATTTTTTTATTTCTCAGACATGCAGGTTTCCTTACGATGGTTTCCTTTACCGCCGAGAACGTGGTAAATGAGCACTTAAAATTACAATTAACAATTTCATGCGGGGATCGAACCCAAGTTGCTCGAGTACTGTAAAATTAACAGATTGAAACGTTTGATCATGATTAGTGTTAAAGTGAGACGAATATGGAAATCACGTTCACATATTCCATGCTCATTCACCCTGGCCTTGAAGTCTCTTTGTTGAAACGAAGAAGAGCCTACTCCTTTTAACACACCTGATATTCCACTGGTGTACCATCACGTGAGCCGTATGATCTTTTATCTCTTCTTCTATAAAAAAAGAAATGGTCTACCGAGGTTGATTCCGGGATAAAATTTTATATCTTGGCTTATTGCAAAATGGTTCACCACTCGAAGTTTACGAGTTTTGATATTAAGATACAAAATAGCAATAAGCATTTTCAACATAAAGATTGCTAGTTTTGTTTTATTGCAGGCGTTTTAAATGATTATACACAAAATTAGAGTGGGTGTATATAGTCAGGGTTATATATAGTCGTTTAAATTTGCAGACAAGGTTCAGAATGTATAAGGCAAATGTTGAAAAGAAATTAATAAAAAAATCTCAATTATTCTGTCCTTTTTATCTAATAAATTCATAATGCGTGGTAATGCATTATTTTAAATGATTTTACTGCGCACGCACACATTCGTAAGGATTGATCGGTAGGCAAAAATGTTGTTGCTCATAAATCACATTCAATTTGGGATAGTTTCAAATAAACGTAGAAGCCTTATTTACTCATATTTTCAAAAACTGTAATAACGGTATGTCATTATCTATATATTTGAACTTAGGTTAAAAAAATTTGGCTACTCTTTGAAAAATAACCCTGTATATAACGACGTGCCATGAGTGATGGTGTGAAAATTGAAGATGGAAACGAACTTACAACCCACCTGGTTACTACCAGTTTGGCTGTTGCAGTTTATTAACACCAGCAGCATACTCTCGTTGCTGAAAATAGGTCTTTATACACAAACACACACACTTCATAACAAAAAAGGCTACAGACTCGTGGTCAACTCTGAGCACTAAGATGGAATGCCTCACAGCCCAAAACACAGACTGAAACACAGCAGTGCAGGCTCTGCTATTTAGAGTCAGAAGTATGTAAGATGGTGATACTTTTTTTTACCTGGGAAATGCCTACGCATACTCGCCTCGCGGGGGTAAGGACGGGTTATGTAGGACTCGCACCGACTAAAACCCCATGGTGTTCCACCTTCACCGCATATTGGCAGGCCCACGGGAACGTTTTTACACACATCCGCGGCTCCTCATTCTCCTCTTCTCCTCCCCGTTCTCCTTTTCAGGCAAGGCGCACCCGGAACACAAGGCACGCCCCCCTGCACGGCTTCCAACTCCACCTGCGTATCAAACCCTCCGAGTCCGACACGCGGAGGCCTACGCAGACCACAGAATAAATAATAGTCCAGACGAACGCCTAGGCAGAAAATTAACAGCTACCTATCACCAACTAGAAACAGATCTGCACCGCACTCCCAACAACGTGTGACACTTTGTAACAACGTGTGAATATTTTTTGTACTCTAAGTGATGAAGAAATCTTCACTGTCGAACTTGGTAGAGCCACGTTTCTGAGCTATAATTTTTTTTATAGGATAAGTGTGACAAACGAGCACTCAGTTCACCTGGTGGTAAGTGGTTGCTGTGGCCCATAGACATCTACATCTATCCTCAATTACGAATCAAAATGCATATGCATTGTCACCCGTGAGGACTAAGATGGAATGCCTCGTTTCCAGTAAAAAGGGTCTCCGGTTCTCTACACTCACCATACGAAACACAGCAGCATTAAGCTGCTATTTTACGCTGGTATTCTGTGAGAGCGTGGTCCTTCCCCGATCGAGCCGACCCATTCGTGTTACAACTATACCAGAAATATAGCTGCAGCATGGCTCTACCACGTATTATATAATGTGGCTATTATATAATATGGCTATAATGAGGCTTCAACACGAATTTGCCTGCTACCGGGGAACGCACAGAGTGACAATAACCAGTGATCCTTTTTACTGGTAACGAGGCTTTACATGTTAGACCTTAGAGATGATAGCGCATCTGCATTTCACTTTTGTATAGAGTATAAAAAACTATTGATAAATCCAATTATGCATGCGTTAAGCGCATTTAAAAATATTATGTACACACACACACACACGTTTTCACTAAAAACCTTATAATTATTAATATACTTCCAATTTTCCGATAATTTTATGCCAAATTTCAATTAAATAGAAAGCTTGGAATATCCAAAATTGCACGACTTATAAGATCGTGAAAAAATTAAAAAAAAATTGTAAATTGTAATTCTATTCGTCAAAGAGTTTCAGTAGCAGTCACCGAAGTAAACCTTCAAGTCATTCCATCAAGTCCGGAGGTAAGGTCTCATCGTAACTAACAAAACGAGGCCAAACTTGGCACACCTAGTTCTATTCTTCGAGGAGTTCCAGTAACATTCACCGGTATACACCTTCAGGTCACTCTATTGAGTTCGGAGGTAAGTTCATATCATAACTAACAAAACGAGGCCAAACTCAGTACACCTAATTCTACTGGTCGAGGAGTTAGCAGCATTCACCGAAGTACATCTTCAGATCACTCTATCAAGTCCGAATTTAAGGTCTCACCATAAATAACAAAACGAGGCCATAATCTGGACATCTATTACTGTTATTACTTTTCGAGGAGATCCAGTAGCATTCACCGAAGTACACCTTCAGGTCACTCCGTCAAGTCCGGGGGTAAGGTCTCGTCATAACTAACATAACGAGCTCAATCTCGGCATACCTAGTTCTACTCGCTGAGGAGTTCCAGTAGCAATTTCTGAAGTACACCTTCAGGTTACTCCATAAAGTCCAAGATGTATGATATCTAAATCCTACGTACGAAACAAAATATTGTAATAAAACTCTGTGATTATAAAAATAATAACCTTGGTCAAGTATATA